CTAATAAATACATAAATACTGTCTGTATTTTTTTTTTTTTACGTTTTTCAAATAAGTCTATTCAACAAGTTTATTCAATTACAAAAATACAGCAAAAACGGTTATATTATAAAATAACTGTTTAAAATAACTTTTTAAACATTTTCAAAATGTAATTTATTCCTGTGATCAAAGCTGAATTTTCAGCATCATTACTCCAGTCTTCAGAGTCACATGATTCTTCAGAAATCATTCTAACATGGTGATTTGCTGCTTAAGAAACATTTCTTATTATTAATGTTCAAAACAGTTGTGCTGCTAAATTCAGGATTCTTTGATGAATAGAAAGAACAGCAAATTTTTTTTTTTGAAACAGAAATATTTTGTACCATCATAAGACATGTCACTTTTGATCAATTCAATGCATCCTTGCTGATTCAGAAAGGAACTCTGACTAAAACTAAAAGCATCAAAGAAAACAGACTGAATTTGTTACCAGACATGCAAAACCATCTCAACATGCAGACATTATGTATTATATGTGGCTTTGGTGCCACCACTGGAGTTTGACAAAGGGGTGATCGGTCTGGGGGAGACTGACGTTTTGTGGGGTTGTGAAGCTATAGAGAGAGATGTACATCTCCTTCAGGCCTCCACCCCCAACCTGTTAGTCCTCTGTTACTAGGCAACACCTGCTGGTATGTGCTAAATAAAGATTAGCACCAGGCGAGCCGCCTGGCAGCGACGTAAGGGCTTCTAGAGGCACAAAAGCACAGCTCCTGCTTTCTTACAACTTCCAACGTCTTTTTCTTGATATTACAGATTAACAGCCAAAACCACATGCTCTAGTTCCTGAGGAAAAATACAAGTCCAAATAAATCAATGTCATTTTACCATATAATCATACACACATATACACACGCGCATACACACACACATACATACATACATACAGGTCAAAAGTTTTTGTCAGTTATGTTTTTGAAAGAAGTTTCTTATGCTCACAAAGGCTGCATTTATTTCATCAACAACATAGTAAAAAACAGTAATATTATGAAATATCATTACAATTTAAAGGGGTCATGTGATGCTATTTTAAAGATCATCATTATTTTGTGTGTTTGGTGATCCTTCAGAAATCATTCTAATATTCTGATTTGCTGCTTAATTACTAATAAGACTTCTTATTATCAATGTTAAAAAAACGTTTTTGCTGCTTAATATTTTTTGTGGATTTTTTTTTCAGGATTCTTTGATTAATAGAAAGTTCAAAACTTGAAATAGAAATCTTTTAAATAGTAACATTATAAATGTCTTTACTGTCACTTTTAATCAATTGAATGTATCCTTAATGATTTTTAAAATTAAATTCTTGAACAATAAATGAATAAATAAATAAAGTCTTAGCCTAAACGTGCCAGCTTCCCCAAAAATATGAAGCAGCACAACTGTTTTCAACATTGATAATAATAATAAATGTCTTGATCAGCATATCATCATATTATACTGATTTCTGAAGGATCATGTGACACTGAAGACTGGAGAAATGATGCTGCAAATTCAGCTTTACATCACAGGATTCAATTACATTTTAAATTATAATCAAATACAAAACAGGCATTTTAAATTGTAAAAATATTTCCCAATATTACTGTTGATTAAATAAATGCAGCTTTGGTGAGCATATAAGAGACTTCTTTCTAAAACATTAAAAACGATTCCAAACGTAATAATTCCAAACTTTTACCAATAGTGTATATGTATCTACTTTCCTTTACTTATGAAAAAGAACTAAAACAAACAGACAAGGACACTGGAAACACACACACACACACACACACATCAGTAACTAACTGCCAGCAGAAGTGAGTAGTGTTTGTTTGAGCAAAACCGGCATCACATTGCTATACATTATTGAAAAGGCATTGCTATGCACTTTTACCAATAGTGTATATGTATCTACTTTCCTTTACTTATGAAAAAGAACTAAAACAAACAGACAAGGACACTGGAAACACACACACACACACACACATCAGTAACTAACTGCCAGCAGAAGTGAGTAGTGTTTGTTTGAGCAAAACCGGCATCACATTGCTATACATTATTGAAAAGGCATTGCTATGCACAATACTAAACTAAGGTGTTCTAGATGGTCGCAAGAGCCATAATAATCGATAGTACTACTGATCATATTGCAATGTTAAAGTGAATATTTACATTTGGGGTCATGTGATGTTTGAACAGGTGTGACTGTTTAAATAAGAGCATTAGCCTATAGCTTCTCACTGTACTATCTGGGGGGGAAGGGAAAATGTGAGAGAGACAACTGCTAAACGACTGACGACTTGGAGGGAAAATCTGTCTAATCCTCACAGAAAACACAAACTCATCCGCTTGTGCTTTCCTTCCATGCCTTGAAGTCATTGCATAACACTTTCATTACGTAATCCCAAATGTACATTCATGTCAGAGGTTTATCTCTACCGCGTTTTTAGCATGAGGCATCCTTGAGTGTCCCATCTGAAAGCAGGGGGAGAGGAGAAATAAAAAAAAGAAGACTAACCCACCATCACCTCCAAATGTCCTGTTTCAGCAGCATCAGCATCATAAAAGGGGACGCTCGAGTGATGCTTCACCCTTTTCCCACATATGAGGTTTGTTTTGAATTTAAAATAAGAGCATGAATAAACCAAGCATGAACACTTGGGGAAATAGAGACATTAAAAGCTGGAGGATATATCGTTGTCTTCTGAAAATCACTAGGGCTGGTGTTTTAAAGATTTTGAACTGGAGAAGTATAGAGAGAATACATGGTCCAAACTGGCCAGTGATGGTCTTAAACTGGACCAAGCTGCTCTCACTGGCTGATCTGCAGGACTATCAGCCAGTGATGTCAAGGTCGGCACCGCAAAACCATTTTAAGCCAGTAAACTTTTTTCTCTACACAAAATGTCTTCTGAAGAAACGTGGAGTTTGGCAGCCACATTGTCAGGGTGTTGCAACACACTTTCAGCAATTTAAATTGTTTCATTACTTCAAGGACCCTGAGCACAACTAGCACAGGATGTTACAAGCCAAGGTTTAAGTATCCTGCTTAAAAGCAGTAACACAATGTCCATTCACATAGTTCATCTGGTTATTTGCATGCCAGATCACACTGCATTTGAGTATAATCACGAGGTTTAAGTGAGGGTTATGTCAGATCTGCCTCAAGTGTTGTGCTGTGGCATTCACTGCATGTAGCTGGTTGTGTCACTGTGGTTAATTACGTTCAGAGCACTCTGCAGTGACCATAGTAACAATCTCCACGGTCTGTAGACTCACAGCCTGTCTCTAGAACAAACCATCACGCCTGAGAAAAGAGAGAGAGGGGTGAGTCTGCCAGTCAAAGCAGGAGACGAGATAGCTCCTGCCAGCCGAGAGAAAGAACACTGACTGATAATGAGGAAGCGAGATGGACGGCTGCAGGGAAACACAATCACCCTGAGCTAATGAAGGGAGATAAACCAAACAACCAGCAGTCAACCCAAAACAGACAAAGAGAATTAAAGGCAATAAAAGGGCGAGATTGTGATCGTGCGTTACCCGACAAGTTTGAGTCAAGGAAGGACAGTGAAATAATACTGAACGGGATTGGACCAAGACAGACAATAGCCCGATCCTGACACTGACGAATCAGTGTGAGAGACAGAAGGAATATGGATACTTAAGAAACAGATAAGACAACAGTGCAGAGAAGCGTATGAGATGGAGTGTTGTAGCAGGAAGTGACGAGGAGGGGGTGGACAGTGTGTCCTGGGTAAGACATTGTAGATCACACAGAGAATGTTGGCATTTCTCTCGCTCAACCAAAGTGAATCACCCTTCCTTCCCCTCTTTGTCTCACTTGCACTCACTCACGTCTGTCAGTGGTGCAGGGGTAAATGAAGTGTATCATTCACCTTTTTGGCAACCAAGATGGCTGTTAAAGCAGGGCTGGTCGAACTCTGGCCCTCGAGATCTGCTTACCTGCCGAGTTCAGCTCCATACCTGATCAGACTCACCTGCCTGTAGGTTTCTGGTAATCCTGAAGACCTTGATTAGGGATGGAACTAAACTCTAGGGCTGTGTCCAAAATCACCCCCATACCCTTAAATAGGGCACTATCCCACAATGCACTGCAATAACGACCGTACAACCAATGTGCATTCAACAGTTAGAAAACACCCATAATGCACAGTGACGGTCATGCCGAATGAATTCCCACATCTCACCAGAAGGTGGCGCCTGCAGCCGAATCATCCATCCATCCATTTTCCAAACCGCTTGTCCAATGTGGGTACAGTGTAATATCATACAGGTATAACATTCTTTTTAATTGATTATTAAATTGTTTAATTGAGGTGTATACATGCTAGTTTCCATAAGTTCAAAATAAATCTTTTCATTACTACTGGAGCTGCCAGTTTGTTTAGTTTTGTAATGATTATTAAATCGCAAGCACAAACTATGCAAAAGTGGCAACCCTTCTGGCACACTTAGTTCATGCAACCGCCACAGGAGTCCCAGCACAAGCGCCGCACCAATATATCTACCTAGACTGCATATTAAAACTGCACCTAATGAAGAGTCTGCTCCAAATCAAAGCGGACTACTAAAATCTAATTTTGGTTTAAATCCAAGGCAGCACTACATTTAGCCTTCACATATAAAGAAATTCCAGAATGAATTGTGATACTAAGTTGATTTACACAATATCTGTGCACAATGTATTTAAAAATTTACATTTTTAAAACTTTTTCATAAAAAAAAAAAGAAAAAAAAAGTGTTGTTAGCTTAGCAACATGCTAACACCAAACTATTTAAATCAACTATCGGTTCCATTTTGGTTTGGATGTTGTCTTAGAAGGAAGCTCCCTTTGTAGGAAACAGACAACAAGGCAGTTCACTAGGCTTAAGACTAGGCAGTTCACTAGGCTTTGGAAGAGATGAAGGGAAGAATGAGGCATAAACTGGAGACTAGATCAGATCTCAAGACTCTTGTTTAATAACCGTGTTGTAATAATATGGACTGAGAACATGAGCACTTACTTTGGATCTGGTAGGTATCTTAAAACAATGCTGCCCATTCCTGAAGAGAAAGAAAAAAAAGAGAGAAATGCATTTCAGAGCTGATATATTTTAAATATATCAGTAATGGCAACAAAAAAAAAAAATCACACCTTTGTTAGCTGTACTGTGATGCTGAGCTTTATGAAAGAGAATAAAGGCCGAAGGTTCTGGTCTAAACATGTGAATTTGTCACAATGACCAGTGTTGGGGAAAGTTACTTTTAAAAGTAATGCATTTCAATATTGCGTTACTCCCTAAAAAGTAACCAATTACGTTACTTAGTTACTTTTTATGGAAAGTAATGCGTTACATTTTAAATGCGTTTGCACTTTTTAAATCTGGACAGGGCTTGCTTGTTTTTAATTTTAAAAAGTTCTTCTGGACGGGATCTTAAAACAAGGTCGCCCATTCCTGAAGAAAAAAAAAAAAAAAGAGAGAAATGCATTTCAGAGCTGATATATTTTAAATATATCAGTAATGGCAACAACAAAAAAAAAAAATCACACCTTTGTTAGCTGTACTGTGATGCTGAGCTTTATGAAAGAGAATAAAGGCCAAAGGTTCTGGTCTAAACATGTGAATTTGTCACAATGACCAGTGTTGGGGAAAGTTACTTTTAAAAGTAATGCATTTCAATATTGCGTTACTCCCTAAAAAGTAACCAATTACGTTACTTAGTTACTTTTTATGGAAAGTAATGCGTTACATTTTAAATGCGTTTGCACTTTTTAAATCTGGACAGGGCTTGCTTGTTTTTAATTTTAAAAAGTTCTTCTATGCATTACAATATTGCGTTACTCCCTAAAAAAGTAACCAATTACGTTACTTAGTTACTTTTTATGGAAAGTAATGTGTTACGTTACTTTTGAGTTACTTTTTAAATCTGGGTAGGGCTTGCTTGTTTGTTTTTAATATAAAAAAGTTCTTCTTTTACAAATGTAAAAGCCCTTTTCACAACAAAAGTGAAATGAATATGCCTCAGGCTGAACGAAATGTAAATTCATGTCTGTACAGTATAGGACGCAGCTCAAACTAATTGCATGAAGAATATGACGCAGGAGAAGAAAGTTCAACACTATTCAGCAATAACAAAAATGAAACAAATGTGTTATTTTTGCTTAGTATGGTTGAATTGGATCATCGAAGGTCAGTAGCAAAGACACTGGTTAATAAAATGAGATTAAATACATAAATTTAAAAAAGTAATCTGATTACATAACTCACGTTACTTGTAATGCATTACCCCCAACTGATGAGTGCCACAGCAACTACTATAACACCAAATTAATACATGACTAATATCTATACACAAATACACACACACACACAGAAAGAAATAATCTATAACTTTTTTATATAGAAATTTTGAAAAATGCAATAAATGTGCATAATTACATGAGCAAAAAATATATGCATGTATGCATGCATGTATGTATGCATGCATGCATGAAGAAGAAATGTGCGTGTGTGATGTGCGAGAACCAGTGAGGTCTGTTCTAGAGTGTCGCACACATTTGAGCTTCTGTGTTCAATGTATTTGATGCACTTTTGCAACGATCACTCATTCATTTATTGTTTACTTTTATCTGCCTTCTGACTATCTTAAACGTCGTTGCTATGGGTAGCATCTTGCAATTATTCTGCTTATTGTATATATAAAATACAAATGTCTTTATACAGTATGTGCAGATATATACATAGAGAGTGTATCCCACACACACACACGTATTACTTTAACTCTCTGCACAACTATGTATACATTGGATTGATTTGAATAACTTTTATGTACTTGAATTGTGCATCAAACACTAGGCGTATACAAGTAGCAGATCAGGACTTGGTATTGGCAGATGACTCGGAACCTGATCGGGACATCCCTAATACGCACATGTAATTTATTTATAACCTACGTTTTATAATATACATTATTAAATTTGCACATGTAATCTTTTTTTGTAAATATTTTATTAATTTTATAAAATTATACAATATACAACTAGTGCATGTGATTTTTTTAAATAATGTTTATTATAATAAAGTAATACTTTTTCTATAATGTGCATGCATGTTTTTTAAGTTTACATTAAAAAACATATTAAAATTGTATATTTCTAATTTGTGCGTGTATGATAGCAGTGATCTCTTGAAGGTTCATTCACCTTTTTACCATTTAAAACGGCAAAATCGACCTAATAATTTTAACATGGCTAAGAGTTCAAATAATTCATATACTAAAACAAGTGGCATCAGCAGGACTCTGAACGGCACTGACCAAGTTTCTTGGCCTGATTGTGAGCATCATCTCCAAGTTTCCTGAGGAAGGGGTTCTCCTGCGTGAGGAGCACCTTCACGTCCTCCACGCAGATGTTGATGATTCGGGCTCTGATGTATGGACACAGCGTGTAAATACCCTGGAGAAAGACAGCAGCATAGAGTCAAGGACTCGATCTCCTCTTTCACACACACAAACAAACAAAAACACACACAAAGCCTTTCCTGCTCAGAAAGAAGCATGTAACCTAAGGATGATTAATGCATTTTCTTTCCCATTAATTCAGCCTTGGAAAGCAGCAGACATATTTTAATCCATTTCTTCATCTATGGGAAGAATAAATACACATACAAAAACAGATCTTCCTCTAGTTAAAAATCAATATACTGTAGTGGAAAATGGTAATGGAAGTTCCCTCTAGAGCAGACAGGAAGGCAAACTGAGGTTATTAACGGCACATTGAGATGAACTTGTTTCCCTATAGACCACTAAACCTAGTTTTTGAGCAAAAAAACATCTGAGACAACTGAGATATCGGAGTGTTGCTTTAATAATAGACTGATTACTGCAGTACAACTTAATATCCAAAGCCTTTCTGGTTAAAATTGCATGTGAAAAACAACCCATTATATCTTGCAGATGTATCTCTGGGATTAGACTGCTGCTTTTCAACTTGAAAAAGATTTTTAAATGACGAAAATGCATCTACACAACACTACATTTATTCTAGAAGTGAGTATCCAGTATTAATTTAGATCTCAATATTTTCAAAATTTTGGTTGTACGTACGCAAATACACAAGTGATTCAAACTACTACTACATAAAACATTATTAACACCAAACTCCGTTTTGTTTTACACACACCCACCTCCTGAGCCAGTCTGAAAGCACAACCGAACTGTTCTCCATCAGTATTTCTGGACCAGACCTTCACGCCTGTGTTTATAACCTGCAGAAAGGTTAACAGCATTTTGCTACTTCATTATTATTATTTAAATTTGGTAACACTTTTACATTAAGTTAATGTTAGGTAATGAATTAACTAACACTAACTACCACTGAACAATGGACCCTTTTCACATTTCTGGGTTTCTCAGCAGCGGAAGTCGTCATAGTTGGGTTAACTTGAATAGCAGTGAATGGGAGAGTACCACAAATATATTTTTTGCATTCCCATTTGCTCAAATAGCAAAAGAAAAACTCCACAATAGTGTTTTCATGACTTTCAATAAAAGGAAAAAAATTGAGAGAGACTGATAACGACAGTCAGAAGAGAGAATGTTGTTAAATTGACCATCCCGCCCATAGACGCTGCATTAGAAACACCCTCGCATCAGCGTTAACTGTTTTTTTGTAATTTGATGCAAAGGTGATCTAATACAAATAATAGTGTTATAAATGTAGATACATAGCAGTGAATGGGAGAGTACCACAAATATATTTTTTGCATTCCCATTTGCTCAAATAGCAAAAGAAAAACTCCACAATAGTGTTTTCATGACTTTCAATAAAAGGAAAAAAATAGAGAGAGACTGATAACGACAGTCAGAAGAGAGAATGTTGTTAAATTGACCATCCCGCCCATAGACGCTGCATTAGAAACACCCTCGCATCAGCGTTAACTGCTTTTTTGTAATTTGATGCAAAGGTGATCTAATACAAATAATAGTGTTATAAATGTAGATACATTTTTAAAAAAATACAAATATGAAAAACTTTCGAGGATTTACAATGCTGATGACCTTGTCTTGACCGGTCTTGTGAAAAGGGTCCATACATTTGAAACAGTACTTATTGATCTCGGTTGTAAACATTATTGAATAAAAATACAGTTATTTATTGTTACTACATGTTAGCTCAGGTCCATTAAGTAACAATAATAGCTTTTGATTTTAATAACACATTAGTAAATGCTGACATTAACATTAAGATTAATAAATGTTTTAGAAATATTTTTCATTGTTATTTCAAGTCAATTAATGCAGTTAGCTAATGTTAACAAATGGAACCTTATTGTATTTTTTTATTCTATTGCATATGAGCAAAAAATATATGCATGTATGCATGCATGTATGTATGCATGCATGCATGAAGAAGAAATGTGCGTGTGTGATGTGCGAGAACCAGTGAGGTCTGTTCTAGAGTGTCGCACACATTTGAGCTTCTGTGTTCAATGTATTTGATGCACTTTTGCAACGATCACTCATTCATTTATTGTTTACTTTTATCTGCCTTCTGACTATCTTAAACGTCGTTGCTATGGGTAGCATCTTGCAATTATTCTGCTTATTGTATATATAAAATACAAATGTCTTTATACAGTATGTGCAGATATATACATAGAGAGTGTATCCCACACACACACACGTATTACTTTAACTCTCTGCACAACTATGTATACATTGGATTGATTTGAATAACTTTTATGTACTTGAATTGTGCATCAAACACTAGGCGTATACAAGTAGCAGATCAGGACTTGGTATTGGCAGATGACTCGGAACCTGATCGGGACATCCCTAATACGCACATGTAATTTATTTATAACCTACGTTTTATAATATACATTATTAAATTTGCACATGTAATCTTTTTTTGTAAATATTTTATTAATTTTATAAAATTATACAATATACAACTAGTGCATGTGATTTTTTTAAATAATGTTTATTATAATAAAGTAATACTTTTTCTATAATGTGCATGCATGTTTTTTAAGTTTACATTAAAAAACATATTAAAATTGTATATTTCTAATTTGTGCGTGTATGATAGCAGTGATCTCTTGAAGGTTCATTCACCTTTTTACCATTTAAAACGGCAAAATCGACCTAATAATTTTAACATGGCTAAGAGTTCAAATAATTCATATACTAAAACAAGTGGCATCAGCAGGACTCTGAACGGCACTGACCAAGTTTCTTGGCCTGATTGTGAGCATCATCTCCAAGTTTCCTGAGGAAGGGGTTCTCCTGCGTGAGGAGCACCTTCACGTCCTCCACGCAGATGTTGATGATTCGGGCTCTGATGTATGGACACAGCGTGTAAATACCCTGGAGAAAGACAGCAGCATAGAGTCAAGGACTCGATCTCCTCTTTCACACACACAAACAAACAAAAACACACACAAAGCCTTTCCTGCTCAGAAAGAAGCATGTAACCTAAGGATGATTAATGCATTTTCTTTCCCATTAATTCAGCCTTGGAAAGCAGCAGACATATTTTAATCCATTTCTTCATCTATGGGAAGAATAAATACACATACAAAAACAGATCTTCCTCTAGTTAAAAATCAATATACTGTAGTGGAAAATGGTAATGGAAGTTCCCTCTAGAGCAGACAGGAAGGCAAACTGAGGTTATTAACGGCACATTGAGATGAACTTGTTTCCCTATAGACCACTAAACCTAGTTTTTGAGCAAAAAAACATCTGAGACAACTGAGATATCGGAGTGTTGCTTTAATAATAGACTGATTACTGCAGTACAACTTAATATCCAAAGCCTTTCTGGTTAAAATTGCATGTGAAAAACAACCCATTATATCTTGCAGATGTATCTCTGGGATTAGACTGCTGCTTTTCAACTTGAAAAAGATTTTTAAATGACGAAAATGCATCTACACAACACTACATTTATTCTAGAAGTGAGTATCCAGTATTAATTTAGATCTCAATATTTTCAAAATTTTGGTTGTACGTACGCAAATACACAAGTGATTCAAACTACTACTACATAAAACATTATTAACACCAAACTCCGTTTTGTTTTACACACACCCACCTCCTGAGCCAGTCTGAAAGCACAACCGAACTGTTCTCCATCAGTATTTCTGGACCAGACCTTCACGCCTGTGTTTATAACCTGCAGAAAGGTTAACAGCATTTTGCTACTTCATTATTATTATTTAAATTTGGTAACACTTTTACATTAAGTTAATGTTAGGTAATGAATTAACTAACACTAACTACCACTGAACAATGGACCCTTTTCACATTTCTGGGTTTCTCAGCAGCGGAAGTCGTCATAGTTGGGTTAACTTGAATAGCAGTGAATGGGAGAGTACCACAAATATATTTTTTGCATTCCCATTTGCTCAAATAGCAAAAGAAAAACTCCACAATAGTGTTTTCATGACTTTCAATAAAAGGAAAAAAATAGAGAGAGACTGATAACGACAGTCAGAAGAGAGAATGTTGTTAAATTGACCATCCCGCCCATAGACGCTGCATTAGAAACACCCTCGCATCAGCGTTAACTGCTTTTTTGTAATTTGATGCAAAGGTGATCTAATACAAATAATAGTGTTATAAATGTAGATACATTTAAAAAAAAATACAAATATGAAAAACTTTCGAGGATTTACGATGCTGATGACCTTGTCTTGACCGGTCTTGTGAAAAGGGTCCATACATTTGAAACAGTACTTATTGATCTCGGTTGTAAACATTATTGAATAAAAATACAGTTATTTATTGTTACTACATGTTAGCTCAGGTCCATTAAGTAACAATAATAGCTTTTGATTTTAATAACACATTAGTAAATGCTGAAATTAACATTAAGATTAATAAATGTTTTAGAAATATTTTTCATTGTTATTTCAAGTCAATTAATGCAGTTAGCTAATGTTAACAAATGGAACCTTATTGTATTTTTTTATTCTATTGCATAATATTTTATAATAAAATTCATTATATTTTATCATTACAATCATTACTATTATTATTAGCAGCATCAGTAGTAGTAATAATTTCTTATAATTACAGAAATGTTCTTATTTTGTTATATTAGAAGTAAATATTACTACTAATACATTAGTTATAACTATTATTACTTAGTACTAAATAATAATAATTTCGAGACGCTCATCACTAAACAGAGCTCTAATAGATGTCAGTGACTTATCCTGCTTCCAAACAGTCTTTAAATGAAGCAGCAGGCTCTGGGAAACCAAGAACCCAACCGACCGCCCGTCTGTCGCAGCAAAGCCCGTCTCGTTCTTTGGCAGAAAGAGAGAGAAACACCCTGTGTGTGGTCCACCGACTGACATATTGTGGTTTAATACATTTCCAAGTGATAAGTGCGTATTTAATCTGAGCTCTGTATGAAATAACACATAATATATAAAAATATAAAGAAAAGAAAAAAAAAAACAAGAATGCAAAGCCCCTACATAAAATAACACATAGTTCATTTAATTTCATTTATTAATATCAAATATTTAACATCTTGATAACAGAAATTAATTCAATATAAATACATTTAATTAAATGTGTATTAAATGTTTAATAATAGTTATAATTTTATATACATGCGATTTTAATATGCATTTTTATTAAATATTTAAATATAATAATAATAATAATGTTATATATATATATATATAAAACAGTTACTAATAGTAAGAACGAATAATATAGCAATACTATATTAATATAATAGTATAGTAATACAGTTTTATATATATATATATATATATATATATATAAAATTGGTACTACTACAAATTATAATGATCATTAGTATCAGTAATTAAAATTATAACATTCAATTAAATAATGTAAAAATTGTGTAGTAATAATAATAAATTTTTATCTTTAATAAAATTAATGAAGTAAATATAATTAAACCTATAAAGTTTATTATAGAGAATTGTAAGTAAATACAAATAAACAAATAAATAAAAGTTATAATAGTTCTGGATCACTACCCAAATAACATTTCAGCATGTTAATTGCTCAGAACAAATAATACAACAAAGGACGGGGTGTGTAAGTGTTTACAGTGTGTTTCTTTGCTGTAACGTAACTCCAGTGATGTCTGTTTACATTATCAGCAGATGGTTGTTTCATACTTGATGAATGTGAAGGCACTAGAGCACAGATAGAGTTGAGATCATTGCGAGGCTGCTGTCCCCATCTGCCTGTCCGCCATCCTCAATCACTGCTAGCACTGATGAAGGGCCATCAGAGTGAGTGAGTGTGTGAGTGAGTGCGTGCTCTTGCCTTCATTCTCTCGCTGTTGTTGAGCAGAACATTGCGGAGCTCTTTGGATACCATGTACAGTTGCCTCTTCTTTCCTTCATGGGTTCGAGTCAATACGTTCAGCTTGGGGAAACCTGGAGACAGGTCGTAGAAAGCTCTGCAGCAGACAAAGAAATATCACAGCATAAAATAAATGATGGTTAGACAGAAGGAAAAAAAACGCACATATGCGCACAGCGCTGAACACGCTGCGACATATGGAGCAGAGGCGTTGTCTCCAACAAGTCAAAATGGCGGGTTGCCAGCACTGTGGCACTGTGCATCTGTGTGAGAAAATAAATAACATTCATCACAAACAAAAGACGGAGTCACAGTGACTGAATGATAACGATCATATCATCCGTTCATCTGATTGGTCACATAGGATGTATAGCGTAAGAACAGATAAATGCTCATATTTTTTTTACACAAAGGCTCCAGCCCACTCAGAGTGTATACATTCAGCCGTGACAAACACAGTGTTTCAGACAAAAAAACCCACACAAGATATGAATGAGTGTTCGTAAAAACAGTGTTTGTATTGAGCAGCAAGGCTTTGAGAGAAGAGGCACTCACTGGATGGAAGGGAAGATAGGGTCATCCTCTGTCAGAAACACAAACGGATCCTCTTTGAAGCCAAAGAGTTTCATCTTCTTTGGAGGAGGGGGGCTGGAACAGACAGAGCACTTCATGTCAATGTGGAGCACAGTAACTGAAGAAAAACTGCAATAAAACACCCCGTCCAGCAGGGCGCACTGAAATCAGCAGCACAAGTAACACCTGAAAGCCAATATGTTCAGAATGGAAATCTGTCTTACTGAATTCTTAATGAATACTGCACAGTTGTTGCACGTCTACTATTATGCCTAACTAGTATGTGAAACAACAGATCACGCTAAAATAAAAGGTTCAAACGGTCACCACATAACCACACTAGTATAACGCCTGTTCAACCCTTAAAACAGATTGAGTTGCGACCCGCGACCCAAAGCAATGTCATGTTTTTCTTACAAATAGTGCTGTTATTTTCCAAGTAAACGGCCATTTAAGAGCAATTCAAGTAGCATCCAGAAGGAAATATTATTTTGCACTGAATATTGTGCTTGAATGTCTAATTTTTAACAGTCAGATAAATATTAAAAAAAGAAACGTTTAAATGTTATAAACAGAATTATTAATAATACTATTGTTAAGCTTTTTAAAATAGTAATAACAAACACAACAAAACTAATTAATGATAATCAATGTATGTTACACAATAATAATAATAATAATAATAATAATAGCAATAAATAACTTATTTTATTAGAATAATTAAAAACAATCAATATAGCTATTAATAGTAATAACCGTTTTAATAACAATAATAAATAGTAAACAACAGTTTAATAACTATTCTAATATTAATAAAATAACTATAATGATAATACATGTATTGTTATATAATAAAATAACTTAAATAATAATAATAATTTCATGTTAACAAGATGCTGTTAACAGGACTGTGTTTGCAATGTGTTGACCAAACGTCCTCATTCGTATTGGCCACCCTAAAAATGCTTCTGACTTTGTCATACTATTGATTTATTTTAATATTTGATAATATTTTATTATTGTACATAACCTTGCTAATTAAATGATTTAAAATCAATAAAGATATAACAGAAATAACAGATCTACTGATTTATGAAATGGATTATTAAACCCGTGTGTTATAGGCTTTATCATTTAATTTACAGTCATCATACAAAAATTTCTTCATTGGTGCATCTCAAAATCCACAACACAGAGAGAACAAAAGCAGCAGAGAAATCAATAGGGTGACTGCTGCACCCACATATACACCTGGCTGAAGACACTCACCCACAGACATTATCTTTCTTGACCTCTAAAAGGTCAGGAGTATCTGGAACAGACGGGTTTCCCTCTGCAGGAGTCTCGCCCTCCACTGCTTCCACAGGGGCATCAGCGGACGAGCCGTCTGCTGGTGGGACGTCAGCGGGAGACTCCCCCATCTGCAGCTCCTCTGCAGGAGCCGCCTCACTGGAGGAGGTCACATCCTTATAACGAAGCTACAGACAAAGAGAGGACAGAGAGAGTACACATGCCAGCAAGAAAACGGGTTTGTTAGTTAAAACAACAAAAAGATACCATAAATGTACTCTTATACAACTTCAATGCTCTGTTTGCATATATTATATTACATTATAGGTCTGGGTTTTCTAATACCTTTGGGTAACGGCGGTTCCATGGCATGGGCGCCTTCTTCACCAACACAGCCACAAAAAACCCGCCAGTGTTCTGGTGATGGGGCAATATTCTCATACTGAAAACACAAGTCAAATATACCACAATGACTATAGATCAGTGTAAATTGGGTTCAAACACCCAGCGACAGTTTACTCAACGTTAGTATTGCTCCACTTTAACTGTGGTTATGTACTACCATCTGGTGGAGACTTCTGATACAACACACTAAAGCCCTAACAAGCACGTACACAAACAGTTTAAAGCGTTTTGTTGCGTTACAGACAGATATTTATGATCAAAACTAACTCACCATCTCTCCAGCTTCATATTGGCCAGCTTCTCTGGGTCTGTTGGTGGAAACATGGTGGGTCTGATCTGAGTGTGTCGACTTGTCGGCACCTCTGACCAGTCAGAGTACCACTGACCCTCTTTGGTCATTACCTTCAATTAAAAGAGCAGAGAGCTAGATTAGAGATGACACCAGAGTACAAGATCTGATTACGTTCAAGGTTAAGGGGCTGTACATGAGTGTAGGCATGTTATTTTAATAACCAAGATATCGTGGATCAGCAAAAGAGCTTTACTGTGGGCCTCGCTCCAGTGAGGACTTCGGTTACTTAATAGTCTAATGCTCTCGCTGCAGTTAATGAAGGGAAATGACAGAACTGCGCTAACGACATAAACCAGAGCAAACATGACATTCATAAGCAGAAACAGTATGGAATGAAATTGATGTCAGAGAGTGGAGGCTAACGCTCCATTACCTTCCAAGATGCAATTCCAGGCATATATTTGAGTCCTGGGAGATCTGGAGAGGCATCAGCTAACTCTAAAGCACCTGAGAAATAAACAAGAGTGAAGAAACAACCACAGGAGAGTGAGATCAGAAAATGAAGGAGTGTGACAAATGACAAGACAAATATGTCCAGCTTACTGCTTGAAAATATAATGTTTGATTGAAATATTGTATTTACCACAGGTTTTGTAATATAATTAATATATCATTTTATATTAACGGAGACACATAACACAAACCAATGGGCTGAAACTTGTAAAGGGTCAAATGTAAGGGTAAATCTCAGAAACAGGGTTATCATCATTATCTAAACTATAAAAAATATATACATGTTATCTAAATGATTAGTTTAACTTGAAGTACTACATTAACAAACTAAAGAATAAAAATAGCTATAATTGTTTTTATGAATTTATTATATGACAAAAACACAAAATTACTAAAACTTCAATATTAAAGTTAACAATTTATAAACGCATGTTAATGATACCAAAATAACACTGCTCAGAAAACTACACACATTATTTTTAATGCAGATTTAAAATAATTTAATCATAAAACTATAGTGATAAAATCAAACAATAAAATCAAATAAACAGAAAAGGTCCGCAAAATATATTTTTCTCTTTTGATCTTTGAATGAAATGGGCAGAAATGTCTATGGGCCAGAATCCAGAGGACAGCAGACATACCTTCACTCTTCTCCAGCAGAGCAGCGATGACGGCTTCATCCTCGATGGGGTTCAGAGAGCAGGTGGAGTACACCATCCTGCCCCCTACTGCCAGCTGCTCCACACCTCGTACTGCGATCCTGATCTGCAGCCTGACAGACAATGAGACACACACTGAGCATAACAAACTGCTCTGTTCTGCAACCTGAGAATGGACCAATGCTGACAGCACAACCTAAAGAATACAACATTGCATTTCAGTAAAGAGGAACAGAAAACACATCACTGCTAATTCACTGCCGCTGCCAAAATGCTTAAGCTCCAGACACAATGATCTTCACCAATCAAGACTTGCAGGTTTACCTGAGAGCATGAAGACACAACAAGTATCTAAACATTTCTGGAGGATCATGCGACACTGAAGACTGGAGTAATGACATATTCAAAGATATACTTAATATGAATTTTGAATTACAGATATTACTGTTGTTGCATCTCTCATAATGGATATAGAAGATTAATATTCCACATACTGGTAGAATGGATTTTGGCAAATCCAGGTATTCCATGCCCTCAGAATGTTTGCATACTGTTCACAACACACAAAATGCACACCCTAAAAATAGCAATATTACACTATTATTCTGGACTGGTCTTACCCGTGGAGCTGCAGGCTGTTGCTGGTTGTCCATTTTTTCCACACATCAATGTTTTTCCTCATTGTTCCATCTCCACTGTAGAGAAAAAGGTTCTGATTTTATTGTTCGCCATTTATTTGTAACACCACTTTAGATCATTTCATGTGAGATACTGAGCACATAAATGTATTTCTCTTAAATGTACTTGCCCTGATTTGAGCCGTTTTATCTTATTTCCTGGGAAATTTGTCTTTTTTTATATTATTTTGTCATCTTTATTTGTTTTAAAAAGTTAAAAATGGTCCTTAACCCTGATTGGCATGGCGATAAAATTCTATCACATTATTATAACAGTTATAAAGTTTTGGCCTTTTTTTTTGTTGTTGTTGGATTGGGCGGGTTTTTGAGTGTTTTTGGGCTGGGAATTATTCACCTGATCTGGCACTGCCGTCAAAGAAACTCTTCTCATGCAGGAGATCCGCTTACGTGTGTGTGTGTCTATGTGGAGGCCCACAGTTTCTCAAGAGCAGAGGGAATATTACTGTATGTATTCGTTTTCTGTTTCAGGTATGATTCTGTATGTCCATCGGTTTACATTGTAATGACGCTTGAAAGCCACGAATCGGATTTTAAACTAAAAAGACAGAAAACAGACATTTTCTCATGCTGAGAGATAAACAGATGTATGCGTTTAAGAAAATATTATATATGGTGTTAAAAATAAATAAATGACACAGCGGATGAGAAGAGTTCCTATAAAGTAACATATCAATAAATGTTTGGTTTTAATGTTTTTTATTGTGTGGTAACCATTTTATAAAAGCAATTAGGTAGATTTATTTTATATAATGTATAGTTATTTTATTGCTCACATATACTTGGTATAGGATTAGGTTTGGTTTAGGGTTAGTTGCATGCAATTATGCATAATTTACTGTTATTACTACGCTAAGCACATGTAACACTAAGACACTATACAATAAAGGGCTATCAAGACTTATGATATTATTATTATTATTAGTGATTCTTCACCATACAAAGATTAAAGATGGTGGTATCATCACATTTATTTCCTTCAAGCAATTTTAAGCTGGACTGTATTAACGTTCAGGAGAGTTTCCTGTGGTCTTATGAGATAATATGCTATTAGGGTTAGTTGCATGCAATTATGCATAATTTACTGTTATTACTATGCTAAGCACATGTAACACTAAGACACTATACAATAAAGGGCTATCAAGACGTATATTATTATAATTAGTGATTCTTCACCATACAAAGATTAAAGATGGTGGTATCATCACATTTATTTCCTTCAAGCAATTTTAAGCTGGACTGTATTAACGTTCAGGAGAGTTTCCTGTGGTCTTATGAGATCATATGCTATTTTTTTAAATCAATTACATCAGTGTTTGGTTAACAAGGCAGCCAATTTTGAATCAAATAAAAGTGCTATTCAGGAATGAACTCTTGAAGTTAGGAAACTACAATCTTACGCAGGCAAAAAGGCAAGCCATAATTACATCTTTAAAGTCAACTTCAAATCATTTCATCGACGGAGAGAAATGTTTAGACCGCAAAACCAGGCTGACCACATTGTGTGTGTGTAAGATGTTTGGCCTGCTGGTATGGAGCAGATGTGTTGTGCTTGGCACCTGATTCTGCTGCAGGCCCAGTATAGACTCCACCAACTATAAACCCTGCTATATGATGTTACATGCTGGGAAGAGATTCACTGCTCGACCCAAAACACAGAGATCTGGCATGTGTGCGCGCCTCTATAATTGTGATCCTATAGTCACTGTGGTCATAATCACAACTTCATTTCTGTGCACATAAAAACCGGGTTCCTGCTGTTTGACAACACACATACACACACAGTGGCTCTTATGTCAAACAGCAGAAAATAAATCTACAGTTTGAATGGTTTTTAATAATCCACATTCAAAGTACCTAGACTGACGTCTTTGCAGCTTATTTTGGCCTATAACCACTAGAAGAGACCGGCAGCAGATGACATTTTAAGCAACCAATAATCACATAAAAACCAGACTATAAGGTTGAAGCTTCTGGGACAGAATTGAATGTTTTTTCCTGAAAGATTTGGCAGGTAGAAAGACACTACAGATGCTGAAACAAATTGGAAGCCAAACAAACCCATTTTATGTATACTAAAATCAGCTCTCGGTTTTATTCTTAAACGGTTGAGTCAGACTTATTTTTCTGTATGGCATCTATGGCTCAGACCATCACCTTCAACTTTGCCAAAAAAAAAATATTTTTTAAGTTGGGTTGTATGGATTTGTGCAGTGTTATTTATATGCCATTATAGTATTTTAATATTTTGAATATTATAGTATATTTGAAGTTTTTATTTTTATATTATCAGTTTTCATTTCATTTAAGTTTTGGTAAATTTGATATATGCTTTTTTCATTTTTATTGGTTTTTCTTAATTTTTATTTAGCTTTAATTGTATTTTCATTTCAGTTTTAGTAATTTTCATGATCACGATTTCTGCTTAAAGGGATAGTTGATGAAAATGAAAATGTGATGTTTATCTGCTTACCTCAAGGGCATCCAAGAAGTAGGTGACTTAGTTTCTTCAGTAGAACACAAACGGAGATTTTTAACTCAAACAATTGCAGTCTGTCAGTCTTATGATGGAGGTGAATGGGAATCACTGCCACCTATCTCTCAAATGGACCATTGACACTATCTACAATCTCAATTAGGTGACTTAGTTTCTTCAGTAGAACACAAACGGAGATTTTTAACTCAAACAATTGCAGTCTGTCAGTCTTATGATGGAGGTGAATGGGAATCACTGCCACCTATCTCTCAAATGGACCATTGACACTTTCTACAATCTCAATTAGGAGTGTCAATGGTCCATTTGAGAGATGGGTGGCGGTAATGCACTTATAAGTCTGCGATCTGCCATAAAGCAAGACGACAAGTCACGCGCCGGCTGTCGAGGACGCACTCTGGACAGATCAGACATCGCAGTGCATCAGATGTAAAATTATAAATACTGTTCAGTTTCTTGCACAGCCCGATCGTTTTGTGTCTTCACACATCAATGTATCGTCACGAGCCGCAGGGATTAATTTGGCTTTGTTTGTGTATGTTTTTTTGACTCTCAAAGCCGTGATTCCTATTCACTTCCATTATATGACTGACAGACTGCAACGGTTCGAGCTAAAAATCTTCGTTTGTGTTCTACTGAAGCAACAAAGTCACCTACATCTTGGATGCCCTTGGGGGTAAGCAGATAAACATCAAATTTTCATTTTGGGGTGAACTATGCCTTTAAGCATAATCATTAGCGATATTTGCCTGCTGGTTATTTATCTTGAAGTTGTTTCACTTTAGTTTGTCATTTGCATTATCTTGCATTGATAACAAGCCTCCACAACCTTTCATGGATCTGGTTGCCAGATGTCAAGAGCTTAAAATCCGCCAAACAGAGTTTTTCTCTTAAATTGACACATTTTCTGCCCTGTGGTTTACTTAATCTTCCCAACCAGGTAAACCACACACTCATCTCTCCCTACACTACAGATAAAGCGCTGATGAGCTGAAAACACTGGCAAAGTTTGGCATTCTCCATTCTGCTCAAATAAAAGTGTAATACAGCCAGTCTGTTGCTTGCTGTGACTAAATATGCTAGCAAACCATGCAAGTTGACTTTCTCTTGATTTATACTTGTAAAAGTGCAATAATTCTGATGAAGCGTATACATTTTTTTGTTTTGTTTTACAATAACAGTGATAAGTATTTTTAAGCAAATTAATCATGATTAACTAACAGTGCAACCATTATCATGCAGCCCAAATTACTTATTTTATTTCAGTTACTTGGCAAAGGCAACATTTCTAATCTAACACTTTGATTGAAAAACTAGAACTTGCTTATGGAGGTCAATAAAAACAAATCAAGTAACGTCTCAAGTAGAGACCCTCACCTGCAGGGTACATCACACAGGATCCGGTCATAAAACAGGACGTCCTTCTTCCCGTCCTGATCAAAGTGCAGACGTGGAATGCTAGAGGCGTCATGGTTGACCACCATAATACATGGACTGTTCAATCTCTTGGCCTGGTGGACCAGCAGGTAACAGCGCTTGTTATCCACATCATTGGCAATTACAAAACCCTCTGAAAACACAGAAAAGACGGAGGACAACTATGAGATATGATCATCTTAAATCTGTATTGGATAAATTATGCAAAGCCCATACTAATGAGTATCAGTATACCAGGGAAAGGCACATCCATGTCAGAGTGAAGCATCTCGATTAGTTGAGCAGTCTTTGATCCTGGAGCTGCACACATGTCCAGAATCTAGTCATACAAGCCAGAAAGATCGAGATGAGACCTCACAATTATAAAGATTCTCGCAGTGCAGAAAACACCCAGAGGAAAAACCTTCAGCTGGTATCAATGAAAACTCATGATGGTGTTATTGAAGATGTACCTTATGTTGAGGCTCAATTTTCAGTAGAAGAGGAGGAATCATACTGACGGCTTCCTGTCTGCTAATATTTCCCTGATAGAGGAAACAGGATTAAAAGAAAGGTTGATCAAAAACGATATTTGCATTTATTAAAAAGCCAATGAAGTTCCACAGATATTTACCGATTCCGTTTCGCTGACCAAGAACTGGTGGAATTTCTCCAGGAGTGGAGATTTGCGCAGAATCTTTCTGCTCAGATTAGTGTGCCATGCCAGTTCATCAGGATACCTGTAAGAGCATGGTGAGATGGTGAAATAGCACGCCTGGAGTACCATGCTCTACAGATGTCCAAGGACATTTCAAATTAATTTACAAGTAAAACACATAAGCAGTTAGTTTTTTATCCATCTTACCAACTTAAGGGCTGAGGAGCCTCAATCTTCTGCCCATCCACCTCAAGATCTTGAACCTCTTTGAAGTATTTCTCTTTAAGAGTATGGAGGATTTCTTTGGCATGACTGATTACAGGGATTGAGAAAGGGACAAATCAAAAACGTAAAATTGTAGGGGTGTAACAATATATTACATCACAACATATTGCAACACAAAAATGCAACAATATGTTCATGGATGGTTGTGTATAGTTCATCATTTTATACTTTCAGGTTCAATTTGAGTAGTTTTGATGTGCTTTTGTCATTTTTTTATATTTCCATTTAGCTTTACTTTATTTTTATTTGAGTTTTAGTAACTGTAGTACTTCAACTTATTTTATTTCAGTTTCTTCCCAAAACAAAATTTTTAGTTTTTGTTTTACTTTATTCATCTAATGTTTTGATAACAAAACTAGAACATTTTAATGGAGGTCAATAAAAACAACTTCAGTTGCGTCTCTGGATCCAAGCATATAAATGAACAGTACTTTTGTCATATGTCTTATACAGTGCACAGCATAAATGAGTACACCCCCTCTAAAACTTAAATTAAGCAATTACTCTTTACTTAGAAGACATGTTCGGGTTCTTTGGAGATGTAATGTTCCAACAAGCCTGCTTGATCAATTACCAAAGAAGAATACCAAAATTATTCAGCAAAATAAGATTTTCTTATCAAAGTGATAAAATGTTGTGTTGCAAAAATGAGTACACCCTCCTGAAAGTTACTAAATAAAACAAAAAAACAAAAAGTGTATAGGTTCAAGGCTATTTTTGATCAACAGTTAAGTATATTGAACCAAAACTTTTAAAGACAAGTAATTCCCTGACAATTAAAAGTGTTATATAGCCCACTGAATCATACTCCGACTTAATGCTGGCAGCAGTGGAACCACTCGGGAGAGAACTGCCAGGTGACTTGTTTCTTAGCATAAAAGAGGACAATGGTAAAAGAGGAATACCAAATTGTTTTAAGTGTGAAAATATAGCAGAAGTAGCACCAACATTCAAAAACAACGGACTTGTGATAAGCTCCTGAAATACTCAGGTCTTCACTTTAAGTTTTCATTTAGTGATGAGTGAGTTTTTGCTAGAAAAAGAGCAGGAGAAATAACATGCAAGTGTCTCAGAGCCGGCAAAAGCTGTGAAAAGAGTGACACTTTATCTCACAGAGTAAGATGCAGCCTGCAGAAGTGACATGCATGGTTGTTGTCACCACTACCGACTGTAGCCAAACCAAAATAAACTCATTTAACCTCTTCCACGGCCCATATTTACAATATAGAGACTTCTGGGAATCCATACTCTGGTCTCAAGAGACCAAGTCAATCATTTCAGATCCAAAAGCATCCAAAATGTGCTGGTGTTGCCAGAGGAGTGTTGCTAGAGGAGGAGTACAGAGAGAAGTGCCTGGTTCCCACAGTGGCATTCAGTGGTAGTAAAGGTCTTCTATAGGGATGTATGAGTGCTGAAGGAGTGAGGGAGTTGTGCTTTATCAATGCTGGCATGAATTCACACACTACTGTGTGATGTAACACAAAAACCTGAAACTGAAGATGCTACCCTCTTCTTATTCCCTGCATTATTGGGCTTTTTTTTTAACATGACAATGAAGATATTCATTCTCCCAAGGTGAAAATCCTTCAGTGGACATGTATTTCACTCAATCTTAACACTCTCGAGCTGCTGTAGAAACGATCTGAGCAACACTCACCATTAAAGACCAGGGCATTTAAGGAGGTCGTCCTCCAGGAGTTAAACAGCACAGATGTGAAAATTTGTCATGAACTTGTACACTCAGTGTCAAGAAGTCTCAGAGCAGTGTACTTAAGAGTTCTGGAGGACATAAGTTCTAGATTATACTACATTTTCTGAATTAAATCTAGGGTGTACTCATTTCTGCAATCCCTCATTTAAACAAAATTGGCTAATTTACTTATCTTACAGAACATATTGGCATATATTTTGTTGGTTTTTATTAAGTATGTTTAATATGCTTCAATTGTGCCATCTTTCCATGAATTATATTAAGAAAATACATCTTTTATATTTATTCAGAGGGGGGTGTACTCATTTATGCTGTGCACTGTATAATTAATCATTTAAACAAAGCCAAGACGGAGTTTTATACTAGAGTATGATATCGTGAGATCAGTATCGTGCATCAGACAGAATTGTGACATTAGTGTATTGTCCTCTAAACCAGGGGTCCTCAACTCTGGACCTCGAGATCCACTTTCCAGCACTTTCCAACCTGGACTAAACACACCTACCTGCAACTTTCTGGTAATATTGACCTTGATGAGCTTGTTCAGGTGTGTTTGATTAGGGTTGGAGCTGAACTCTGCAGGACAGTGGATCTCAAGGTCTAGAGTTGAGGACCGCTGCTCTAAACTATCCATGAAAGCGGTCAAGAAATATGGCTTCATCTATGGCCTGACAGCAGCGTGGCTGATGGTCGGTAGTAAATCATAAGATTCTGAGAGCAGTAAATAAGGTAACTAATATATTTTAACCACTGAAGTCATAATTCAAACAGTGTGGCAATCAAATCACTGTTTGTCATTCAACACCAGGTCACCTCTTGTATCCAGTGATGCGGATTGTAGCTGGCAGTGGCTCCCTCATGGCCTCCATGAACTCCTCAAACTCTCCCTCGGGAACAATCTTCAGCTCCGTGTAGTAATGCTCAAAGAGTTTGTTTTCCTTGATGATCTCGGAGTATCCAGCTCCCCAGCCCTGCCAAAAAAACCCATGTGAGTGACTATTCCCACCTACCTACATGCCATTTACCATGAGATTACACTGAAACCTTTGTTAGTATACATAGACAATCACAATGATATGAACTACATGATAAGTGCATTCACTGTGCAACATAAACTATATTCAGAAATGAATCTGCAGAAAAGTGAGAAGCTAGAGCAGCTAGCAAACTCACAGCGTCATCTCTGCTTCTTTTCCCCTCAGCTCTTCCATCTCTGTTCTGCTGAGCTCTTTGTCTGTTTCGGTTTTTCCTGCCCATGTTGGACACGCATATAACTCTGGATATAAACCTGCGTTGCGTTTTGACTGAGTGCCTGAAGAACTGCTGCTTTCTGCACTTCTCCGCTCCTGCTGAACTCACGTGTTCGGGACGCTATCCAAACAAGCGCACATTCGACTGAAGGACCCCTTCCGCGGTGTCCGCATTATTGCCTGACGTGCGTTTCATTTTCTACCTTTAAACCTTTGACCGCCAGTCGTAATAAATGTATTGCCAGAAGAATAAAACGCAACGTACAATGGTACAACTATAAAAAATAACGCAAATAAAAATAGGCGAAATTATATTAAATATGAGGTTTCACCGTGGATGCTGTTCTGTATATTTAATTCTGTATTTCACTACGTTTTTGTAAAATATGAAATTTGGCAAGAGATAAATAAACAACAAAACATTCTCTTTGTAGAGACTCATACGAGTCGCTCATCTTTTATCTATTGGTTAGAATTGAATAACTTGCATATATTAAGGCGTGTTTTGGCAGAAGCCCCGCCCACCGCCTTTCTTGATTGGCGAAACCCATGCTGTGATGGGCGGTTCTTTTGGTTTTCTCCACGGTGTCAGTTTGTGTTGTGGACGAGTCACAAAATATTACTCCAACCTTTCTTCTACTGAAGTAGTATTTCGATTAGCAATTATGGACGCTCTTCTGAAGACGTTATTTTCCTCGGAGGAGCAAGAGCTGTATGTTTTGGACTGCTTGGCGTACTTGATGATGGTTATGGCATTCATCACTTTTGTCACTTTGCTTTTTGAGCACGTGCCCTATGGCAGATATGCATCCAGCAGGTATGGGTTCCCTGTGAATGTCAAAGTCGCCTGGTTTGTTCAGGAGCTGCCGGCTTTTCTGGTGCCTTTGAGTTTGGTGCTGTGGTGTCCATGTGCGAAGATAATGCACCTGCCCAACCAATCACTTCTGCTCATGTTCTTGTGCCATTATGTGCAAAGGTAGGATTTTTCCTTGTTATACAACATACATAAATATGTATATATATGTATGGACATGCGTGAGTAAATAACTTCATTTTTCCTTGCAAGTGGTTATTTTATACACTATATATATATATATATACACTGCCATTCAAACGTTTGGGATCAGGAAGATTAGTCATGTTTTTTTTCAAGTGTCTTCTGCTCATCAAGGCTGCATTTATTTGATCAGAAATACAGAAAAAAACAGCAATGTTGTGAAATATTATTCCAATTTAAAATACATTTCATTATACTTTAAAACGTAATTTATTCCTGTGATCAAAGCTGAATTTTCAGCATCATTACTGCAGTCTTCAGTGTCACATGATCCTTCAGAAATCTGTCTAATATGCTGATTTATTATCAGTGCTGGAACTGTTTTTGCTGCTTGGTATTTTTTGGGAACCTGTGATACTTTTTTCGGGATCCTTTGATGAATAAAAAGTTAAAGAGAACAGCATTAAGTCAAAATAGAAATCTTTTGTAACATTATAAACTACCATTCAAAAGTTTGGGGTCATTATTATTATTATTATTATTGCTTTTATTCAGCAAGGATGTGTTCAATTGATTAAAAAAGATAGTGATAATAAAGACTTATATTTTTAGAAAAGGTTTCTATTTTAAATAAATGATGTTCTTTTTAACTTTATTCTTCAAATAATCCTGAAAAAAGTATCACAGTTCCAAAAAAATATTAAGCAGCACAACTGTTTCCAACATTGATAATAAATCAGCATATTATACTGATTTCTGAAGGATCATGTGACACTGAAGACTGGAGTAATGATGCTGAACATTCATCTTTACATCACTGAAATAAATTATTTTTTGGGAACCTGTGATACTTTTTTCGGGATCCTTTGATGAATAAAAAGTTAAAGAGAACAGCATTAAGTCAAAATAGAAATCTTTTGTAACATTATAAACTACCATTCAAAAGTTTGGGGTCATTATTATTATTATTATTATTGCTTTTATTCAGCAAGGATGTGTTCAATTGATTAAAAAAGATAGTGATAATAAAGACTTATATTTTTAGAAAAGGTTTCTATTTTAAATAAATGATGTTCTTTTTAACTTTATTCTTCAAATAATCCTGAAAAAAGTATCACAGTTCCAAAAAAATATTAAGCAGCACAACTGTTTCCAACATTGATAATAAATCAGCATATTATACTGATTTCTGAAGGATCATGTGACACTGAAGACTGAGTAGTTATGCTGAACATTCATCTTTACATCACTGAAATAAATGACATTTTAAAGTTTATTAAAAAAGAAAACCATTATTTTAAACGGTAATCACAATATTACTGTTTTCTGTATTTTTGGTCAAATAAATGCAGCCATGATGAGCAGAAGAGACTCCTTTAAAACACATAAAAAAATCTCACTGATCCCAAACTTTTGAACAGCAGTGTGTATTTTTAACATGAACTGAAGCATGTATTTCTCACAGGTCCCTCATCTTCCCGTTTTTAATTCGAGGAGGGAAATCCACACCATTCATCTCGTTTGTCCTGGCCTTTGTCTTCTGCATCTATAATGGGTACCTGCAGGCTAGATACCTGAGTCACTATGCAGATTACCCACCTGGTTGGGTTACGCATCCCTGTTTCATCATAGGTAGGCACTAGTGAGTACATATTCAGTGTATAAATGTCATTTCCATCATTGTTGCGTATTCCCTTTCATATCAGATAGAATCTAGTGTTCGTTTCTATAATTGTTTAAGAGCTGATGCTGGAATTCATCCATCACCACCAGGGCACCATCAGCACATGACAGAACACAATGCATTCGCTCTACTGGTCAAGGAAGAGACATAAAAAATGACTTGTCAGGATTCTTGTTACTCTCACATTCCAGATCATTTCTCTAGACCTTACAGTCGGTCACCTGACTTATTACTGTAACGTTGACCACTGCAGGGTAGAGATATTGGTCATCTCTCTGACCTCTAGCTGACCTTTCATGGTTGACCGAACATTAGACATTCCCAGTATTCATCTGCAGACCTTTATACTAATCATTTTGTTACAGTATAATTGAAATATATCATCTTGACGCAACCGTATTAGCATTTATATCGATCTCCATAGTATGCATTGTACTTTTTTTTATGTTTATATATTAATACTCCGCAAGGACGCATTAAATTGATATAAAATGACAGTTAAAACAATTATGATGTTACAAAAGATTTTCTATTTCAAATAAATGCTGTTCTTTTGAAGTTTGTATTCATCAAAAAAAATCCAGAAAAAAAATGTATCACAGCTTTCACAAAAATATTAAGCAGCACAACTGTTTTCAATGTTGATAATAAAAATAAAAGGTTTTCGAGCCGCAGATGATTTCTGAAGGATCATGTGACACTGAAGACTGGAGTGATGATGCTGGAAATTCAGCTTTACATCACAGGAATAAATTACATTTGAAAATATATTCACATAGAAAACATTTAATTTAAATTGTAATACATTTTAGTAATATTTTACAATATTACTATTTTTACGGTATTTTGCCTCGGTGAGCATAAGATCTTTCTTTCTTATTCTGAATGATGCTTTTTTTCAGGGTCTTGTATGTGGTTCCTGGGATGGATCATTAATATTCACTCTGACCATATTCTCAGGAACCTCCGTAAGCCTGCAGAGACAGGCTATAAGATACCTAGAGGTAAGACAACGATTATCAGGCTGACAGCTCCATTTATGAACTGGAAATGTGTTAGAGTGGGAAGTGTGGCCTAAAATCTTATATTGAAATGGACTAAAATGTTGGTGTGCAGCATGTTTACCAACAATCACAACATTTTGAGTGACCGCATCATGCATTTTTACATTTTAGAAACAGGCTTTTGATTTTATCACAATATATGAATATTCTAAATTCAAAAATTTGAATTTGGTACCGATATACATACGTGTTCAAGAGTATTCAGAACAGAATACAAATCATTTGAACCATAGCACATGACGCTCAGTGCTGTCAACTCAAATGGGTGGTCAGTGCTAAGACCATCCTTCAATCTGTTCTCCCTTGAATCTGGCTTCGCCTCTGAAAGAAAATAAAAATAGATGCCCTTTCTGTTCCTGACTCATTGCCTCCGCAACTTGTCAGGACCACCCTGCTCCAGAGATGCTAATAGTTTGTGACATCCACTTCTATCTCTTTTCCCATACAGTCAGTGTCCATGCAGGATGCAAATGCAGTCATCTCTTACGTCACATGATTTTTTTCTTTTTTTTTTTTTTTAAAGGAAAAGTTTCAAAGCTGTCTCACATCACAGCTTCACAGGGTATTATCAAAAAAAAAATCACAATATGCACAGTGCAGATTAATGTGAGTCTGTTGATAGATTACATTGTTTAGCCAAAACGGTATGTCAAAGTTGTTTTAAAGGGGTCATATGATGCTATTTTAAAGATCATTATTTTGTGTATTTCTCTTCTAGGTTCAAAAAACTGTCGTCCATAAAATGCGTTGCACAAATTCGAACATCTGGGTTGTGCTGTTCTGTTGTAAATAAATCTTAACTAATGATTCCTAATTGCATCTACTTCTGGAAGGCCAAATAAAGTGCTTTTGCTTTCGCACAGAAACACCCAGCGTCTCCCTGACATGGCTGCATCAACACTACTGTTCCTGAAACCACGCCTTCTTTATTTGCGTGCACATTTGGGCGACATTATGCTAATATTTCCACATAGTGACGTAGATATGTGGGGGCATGTTAGAACGAGGCATTTTAGGTAGGCGTGGTTGACTCTTAACTGTTATAAAGAATATCTCTTTGGATTTGAGACTTTAGTCTTTGCAACTTTACAGATCTTCTTTATGCACCAATAGCTTGTAACACTCCAAAGAGAAAGCAAAACTTGAAATCGCATCATATGACCCCTTTAAGATCCAAAGGCTTGTTCCGTTTTATTTGATGCATAAGTGATGACTGACATGATGAATCAGACATGTTTTTTCTGACATATTTAAGTTCTAGTCAGATGGTTTCACACTTAATAAGTCTCATGTGATGCAATGTCTCTGCTTTGAAACAAATTTGAAATGATTTCTTATTGCTTTGTTCAAATGTCTCTTCATAATTATTTTCTGTTCGTAGGGGGCATGTTTGAGTATGTATCGGGAGCAAACTACTTTGGGGAGATTGTGGAATGGGCTGGATTTGCTCTGGCTGGTCACTCGATCCATAGTGCAGCTTTTGCTCTCTTCACTTTAATTGTGCTGTCCAGCAGAGGAATGGCCCACCACAAGTA